TATAAAATGGAGTACTACTCAGCCATAAAGAAAGAGAAACTAGAGTCATTTATAGCTAAATGGATGCATATTGAGGCCATACTCTTAAGTGAAATAAATAGGACACTATGTGTAAATACCAAATAGTTTCTCTAGTGTGAGAAACTGAAAGTGTAATTAAGGATTAAAATGGTTAAAAAGAATAATTGATAATTTGAAATAGGAAGAAAAGGTTCAAAGGCAGGAGGGGAAGGGGAGAGATCAGAGTTACAAGCTGGAATCTGGAAAGGATCCATATATAGATTGTGTTTAAAACTATAGGGAGAGATGTAGATAGAGACTAGGCTGGAGCTCATCAGTGGGTTGGAAAGGAAGAATCACTGAGATCAAAGGCAAGAAGGGTGTGTTTCCAGAAGAAGCACATACAACTATGTACAGTACACAGTACTCGATGGTGTGATAAATAACTGTTACTATTTTATGTACTTATTATAACATGCTGTGCTTTTCATTGTTTAGAGCATTATCCTACTTATATAAAAGAGTTTACTGTGAAACAGTGTGCTGTTATGCCAGTGGTAGCCCCATGTATCTCGTGTTTAACTGCGTATTTGGATAATATCAAGGGGCCATCACAGATGATTGACATATACCTTCTCAGTTTGCACTTAGAAGTTGGCACTCTGTGTGATACTTTGCGATACACACGGTAAAATTGGCTAATAACATATTTCTCAGATTATATTTCCATCACATGTCACATGACTATATTGAAATGTAAATTTAAAAATTTGGCCCATGTGGAGTCTACTAGCTAATTAGAATTTTTTTCTCAGACCAGTATTTGTTCAATATTAGTTTTGAAAATCTTTCTAAAACAAATCACATCCTTTGATGTCTTGTTAATGCTTGAGATGTTTTTTTAAATTATGTAGAAAAATGTTTAAGTACTTTTCAGTTTTGCTTTGGTTGAGTTCTATTGCATTTGAATATTATTATAGTTTTTTCCCTTGCATTGCTTTTCCTTGAACAATTTTAATTTTTGTATATATGTGTGTTTAGTGAATGATCAAGTTTTTAAAATTAAAAAAAATAGTCAATAAGTATTTGATAAATTAGCAAATTAACTAATTAATTAACTAAATGAAATATGTCATTGCAAATGTGTTTATGATATAGGGAAGAACAAGATGCTGCAAGAGTGTACACAGAAAGCTACCCCAGGAGGTTAGGGAAGGTATTCAGGAGAAGAGTGTTGAGTGAAGTAAGTCAGACATAAAAAATTAAATACACATATTTCATTGTTTCTGTTATATGAGAAACTCAAAATATAAATTAATTAGAGTAAATTAAGGAGAGATTGTATGAGACAGAGTAGTAGACCTTTTGGAGAAGGGGAAGAGGATTTGGGAAAGGAGGGGAGTAGAATGGTGGGGAGATAAAGGGATCAAAAATGATCAAGAAATAATACACATAATATATGTTAGTTCCCCCAAATAAACATAACTATTACTATCACAAACATACACTAGTAAAAAATGTGTCTTAGATAAGATCAGCGTGGTGAATAGAGATTAGCATGATTAAAGACCTGAAGTCATGAGAAAAAGTGGCTCAACTAAAGCTCAATGGGTCTGGGGTTTTTTTGTTTGTTTGTTTGTTTTGGTACTAGGGATCGAACTCAGGACCTTGCCCTTGCGAGGCAGGCAGCAGCACCACTGAGCTAAATCCTCAGCCTTATCTGGGATTTAAGTAGAAAAAAGTGAGGCTGTAGCACTTGGAAGGGGCCAGGCTATGTAGAACTCTCTGGTCTATGTGTATTCGTTTCCTGTTTCAATGGTAACAAATGACACAAACGTAGCAGTTTAAAACACAAGTTCACTATCTTACAGGTCTGAAAGTTAGAAATCTGAAACAGGTTTCAATGGGTCAAAATCAAGGTGCCAGCAGAGCTAGATTCCTTAATGGAGGATTTAGGGAAGGATCCATTTCTCTGTTGTTCCCAAGTTTTAGAGTTCCCTGCATGTTTTGACTCATTGTCCCCTTCTTCCATCTTCAAAGCCAGCAACAGCAAGCAGCATCCTTTACAAGCCATCAGTTTCTCCCACCTCTTCTGCTTTCACCTCTCTAGCCCACTCTTCTTTTAAGAGCTCATGTGATTAGAACAGGCCCACTCCTTCATCACAATCTTCCAAGTCTCTTGCCATTTAAAGTAACATGTTCACAGAGTACAGGGACTAGGACATGGACATCTTTGGGGGTCGTTGTTCATACCATGTTAGAAAAAATTATCTCTAGAGTGATGAGAAGCTACCGACAGGTTTCCAGTAAAGGAATGGTAAGATCAAGTTTGCATTTCAAAGAGAACCCTCTAGATGCCTTACACAAACTCAGAAGTTATTGTAGTCATCTATGGGAGATGTAAGGTTAGTGCAGACAAGAGTACACCTGGAAAAGATCAGGAATGGCGGATCTGAGAATCATTCCCACGACTGTCAGCAACAGGTGTTAGTGGTTGATTAGATATCAGAAATAAGGATGAGGGGACGCAGGTTGACACAAGTAACACCCAGGACTTTGGCTAAGATAACTGCGTAAGTCAAGGAGCAGCTCTGAATGAGAAGGAAAAAATAATTAATTGATTTGAGAATCCATTGAATTCTATGAATCTTGAAGACATCCAAGTGCAGATATCCAGTTGGGAATGAAATCCAATAGTTTAAAATTCAAGAGAAATGTCTGAACTCTGTGGGTATCATTAGGACACATACATAGAAACAATAGCTCTGGGGAAACACAGAGAAAAAGAGAAAGAGAGAAGCTTGCATAGGACAGCAGAGAGCACTGGGTAGAGAAGAATATAGTGTCACTCAGTACAAGGGAAGAGAGTGCTTTGAAAAGCACAAGTGGCCAACTGCTTTATAGGCTGTGAGGAAATTTCCAAGGTCAGGACTGAAAGGAACCAAGTGGGCCACACAGCTGTCATCATGTTCTTGGGCAGGAGCAGGACTTGCAGGGCAGCAGAGCTGAGAGGTAATGCAAGGAGCCGGAGACCAGGGGAAGCTACCTTTCCAAGACACTTAGCCAAAAAATACAGAAAATTTAGAAGCAGCAAAAGTGGCATGGAAGGTTGAAGGAGGAGATGAGATTATTGGAGGATGAGACAGAAACCTGAATATTCTTACTGCAATTTCTTTACGCTGTGTCCTTGTGAGGAGCAGGGAGGAGATGGTGACAGCTGGAAGAAAATGTGTAGTTCAGGGAGGCTGTTCTATGTGTTCACTTGTTGCCTTGTTTCTGTTTAATGTCACAGACTCGCACACATTGTATTACAAATGGCAAGGAGCTGGTTAAAAGGAAGGGCTTAAAATGGAGGAGATTTTCAATTCATTAAAGTCTCAAAGCAGACCAAGGTCTGAGTTTCTGTGAACAAGTTGACCTTGCCTAGTCATACCCCTGGTGCAGGAAGCTTCGCTGAAAGGATGGGTACCAGGTCAGGGAAACAGAGGCAGGAAATTTGTAAGATTCTTGTTTGGTAGCTTCTGTTTTTGTTATGTTTGTCTCTTTTCTGTCATTTAATGGGATAATTATCCAAGATAGGGTTGGAACTAGAAGAGACCCAGATGGCAAACCAAGGTGAAAGTAAAGTTCAAAGCTAAAACTACTCCCAAGCATTGGGTATAGGAGAGGGAAGGGGGCTGTAAGTGCCAAAATGTATGATGTTCAACCTCAGAAACAGTAAGAATGAGCCCTGAAGTGGAGTGTGGCATGGTAAAGCATTCCATTTTGAACTTACGTACAGAATCCTGGAGCAGGAAAGCCTGCTTGATGAGGTGCTTGCTGTAGGAATGGCAGGGCTGGCAGCCTTATATCTGTAAGAGAACCAGACAACTGGAGGCTTTGTCAGTCCCTCAGTGGGAGGGGAGGTATACACAGAAAGTGAAACAAGATGTCTAGCTTCAAGAATTTCATCATCTGTTTGAAAATATAAGATCAATCATTGTAAAACACCTGCCTGGTTACCTTGCTAGTTTTCTTTGTGTTGTTGCTCCTATTGTTAGGTTGAAAGTTAAATTATCATGCATTACACAAATTAAACAAAAAGATGTATTGAAAATACAAAATGACATGTGATCAAATGTCAAATGGGACATAGGGTAAAAGGATAAGTAGCATGATTTAGAAGGGGGAAAGTAGTAAAAGATTTTTTTTTTTTCGAAACTGGCTGGGCCAAGCCTTGTAATGAGCTACATCTTCAGTCCTTTTTATTTTTTATTTTGAGATAAGGTTCCACTACGTCTCTAAGTTGTCCAGGCTGCCCTCAGACTTTTAATTCTTTTGCTTCAGTCTCTCAGAGTGCTGGGTTGTAAGCATGAGCCACTAGGTTCAGCTGAGAAACAAAACTAGTTTGTGAAGCGTTCTTGGAAACAGGAATATATGATGGTCACTATAAGTTGATTAACTTTTATTATCTCATTTATAGCCAACAAGTAATACAAAGTGATGGCTCTCCGTTGCCCAGAGACTGCCGAATGAGTGCCTGGAGTGAATGGTCAGAGTGTGATCCTTGCCTTAAACTACAGGTAAGTGTCCACCTTCTTTCTCCCCTGGAAACTATTGCTCACCTCTCCCGGGAAAGAGCTGTAAGGCAAGAAGCCCTCACAACTCCAATTCCAAAGGAGAGACAATCATCTATATGTATGTGGCTTGTCCTTGCCTTGTCGGAATGCTCCATGTTACACTGAGTGAGAGTCATCAGAACATATCCAGTGTACAAGAGAATACGTAACCTAGAATGTGAAGTGCTACTTTCACTAACATCAATGAATGCTGCTATGGTTTCACCCTTAAAACCATGGTCTCATTTGGTTTGGGGAGGCTGCGGTAGGGCGAATGCTGCTTTTGACCGTTATCCTTTGTTGCATTAGTAAGTCTAACTTTTCCAGCTGGTTTTTTCCAGTTTCGCTCAAGGAGCATTGAGAGTTTTGGACAGTTTAATGGAAAACGTTGCATGGATGCCCTAGGAGACAAACAGCAGTGTGTTCCCACGGAGCCTTGCCTGGAGGCCGAGGATGACTGTGGATATGACTTTCAGTGCAGCACAGGTAATCCCTGCATGTCAGTTGCTCACTGTAGATTTCTGTGTACACTCCTGAGTGAAAAGAAATAAACATGCTCTCGTTAAATTTCCAAGTAGGAAAGGGTCCCCAGGAAGGCCATCATCAATATATTCTCTACAAAAAATTCAAATGTGTTCGCCTAGATCCTCGTTTCCAGCCTTAAAGTGTATTTGATAACTTCAGAAAGAGAGAAAGAAAAAATTTGGCTTTAGACACAATATCTTTCCTGATTTTGACTACAGGCAGATGCATAAAGAAGCGGCTTCTGTGTAATGACGACAATGACTGCGGTGACTTTTCAGATGAGGATGACTGTGACAGTGATCCCCGGTCCCCCTGCCGCAACCGAGTGGTAGAGGAGTCTGAGCTGGTGCGAACAGCAGGCAAAGGGTCTGTATTTCATTTGAATTTTTCCAGATGAAAATTAGTGGAAAAGTCTCCAACTCTGATTATGATAGAGTGGTAGAAGGGTTTATACAAAGGACATGGTTCATACAGGATACTTTAAGCTTCCCAACCTCAGTCATGTCTGTAAAACAAACTACACTATCAGGATGTTACTTCAGAGACCAGTAGGAGATGAAATGGCTCATGTATGAACAGCAGGAGGATCACAGCAACATTGACATGACATGTGAACAGTTCAAACTGAATGGTCAATAGTAGGTCTGGCAAATTAGTTAGAACATTTGAATTCCCAGGAAGGCTGTCTTCCATTGGAATTTCTAGATTGATAGCTGATTATAAGTTTTCAGGAGGTTCTAACACTCTGGAGTTGACCTAGGAGGAATGGGTTCAGAGGAAGCAATTCTGAGGACACAATGTGGAGGTGTTGAAGTTCTGGTTCTCATTCAGAGAATGCGGACATGTTATTCATTTCCATATAAAACACTGGGCTCTGGACAGATGGCTGTAAGCTCTAAGGGAAGTCTTGGAGTTTATAAAAAAGGGATCTACACAATAATGTAGAGATCTGTGCTCCAGGAATTGGGAAAATGGCATAGACCTGAAGTTTGGTTCTGTTCTGTCCCTTATCCCAGGGGTATTACTGCATGACCTCCATTAGTTGTCCTGAGAGGGGTGAATATGTCCTCGATAAAGACACAGTTGCTCACCCACCCAGTAGTATGTGGACAAAGAGGGCATAGCTCTATTTCACCACTGATAAAGTCTTTTTATCTTTACAATTTGGGGGCCTGGTTCATAATAGATACAAAAAAAATGCTTGGGGGATGAACAAATAGGTGGATTAACTGATGAATAACAATGTATAAATGTGTGGCTTTTTAAATACTGACAATTGGCACCAGGTAGAACTAAAACTAAGTTTCTGGAATGAAATTCAAGGACAAAGCTCCAGAACTTGAAATACAGAGGATAAGAAGAAAGAAGAGAGAAGGGATGGCAAGCGTACAGCTGATGCAGGGACTAAGATAGAGGTTCTCTGCCGGTGGTGATATCCCCCAGAAGATATTTGGCAGTGTCTAGAGACCATCTTCGTGGTCACAGCTTGGAGGGGACAGAATGGAGAGCACTACAAGCATCTTGTGAGTAGAGACCAGGGATGATGCTAAGAGTTCTACAACACACAGGCAGCCAGAGCCAAAATGTTAGTAATTCTGAGGTTGAGAAACCCTACACTGAGGTATTAGGCAGTTCCCAAGACAAAATCCCCACATCAGGTTCAGCTAAAAATGGATTTATGTCCTCTCTCTAGGCCAGTTAAACTTCCATTTCTTTAATCAAAATAAGAACAAAATCCCAATATATAAGAATCACGTGCCAGATAAAACATTTCATACACCCTTTATTCAGTTCATGAAATCTTTTCCATGCCTATAATCCCAGCACTCTAGGAGGCTGAGGCAAGAGAATCTCAAATTTGAGTCCTTCCTAGAGAATTTAGCAAGACCCTATCTCAAAAAACAAAACAAAACAAAACAAAACAAAACCCCCCAGTAATTTAAAGGCTGGGGATATATTCAGTGGGAGGGCCCTGAGCAAATAAATAAAATTTGAAAGTGTATATATGTGTAGATAAAATTTAAAAATGTGTTATATATATATATAAGTGTATATATATAAAAGTGTGTGCACTCAATCCCTTTGACTCCTATCTTAAAGATGAGAATCTTGACTCAAGCTCACAGGCCCTCCTAGTACATAGCAGTAAATGGTACAAGATTATCTAAAGTCTTAACAACCAGATCACAGCAAGCTCAAGTGAACCCCAACTCTTTCTGCTGCTTTCCTCAGGGAGACAATGTAAGTCCATGGTGAAAGCCCAGTATTATTATACTTTGCTTTATTTGGGATCCAAGAGACAATTTTCTCCTTAACCTAAGAAGTCTGAAGCATAGAATTACATATATTATTTATTCTCACTCAGTGTAAATTTGTAATTTGTCTTATAGGAAAAGAATACTGAAATCTTGGCCCAGTTAGCTGAAAAACAATCACTCATAATCTGTTGGTTTCCTTTGTTCAGGAAAAAGAAAAATTTGATACATAGTGTTTGCCAGGGAGTCTCATAATGAGGCATCCCAGAAAGCTGGCAAGGAATTCTGAATAGCTCCTGCTTTACCACATTTAGGGGTCCCATTAGAGGATATCACGAGGCTGAGTTTCAAGGCTGAGAGGGTGGGGCCCTAGCTGTGTGAATGGTCAGCTAGAGAAGTAGAATACAAGGCAGGTCCTGATGGAATCAAGCCACCAAACTTTTAAATTAAATTGCCTATTATCAAGAGCAAAAACCTATAACAAATTTAGTCTTCATAAAAATGTATTACTTTATGGCAACTTTCATTTGCATAATACCTTAAACTTTTCAAAATCTTCTTACACATTCAATGTCTATAGGATTCCAGAACAATCCTGTGGGATTGTTTGAGACAGTATTATATTCATTTTATAAATAAGAACTAAATGAAATAATTGAGGCCATGTGGCTTGTCGTTAGCAAAACCAAAACCCAAGTTCTCTGACTCATGTAAAACTACATGTTTTCCACATTCCAACTACTCTCTCTTTCTCCCCAAAATGCTACCACCACCTACATGTTCACCGTATCATTATGAAGATTTTAACACCTTCTCTGCAACATGAAACTAACTTTTTTTTAAAAAAAAAAAAGCTCCTTAAAAGGTTTTTACACAAACATTTGAATTAAGCGTGTAAAATAGTAGAATAAACCAGTAATTATTATTTAAGAAGAGGTTTCCAAACAACATGCTTAGAATATTTATGGTAATCATTAATATGTTATTAAGTATTTATTTACCCTAAATCTGCATTATTCTCATATGGACTGTATATGAAGCAAAGGTGATGGTAGTCAATACCCTAATCATAGCCATACTCATATGCTGCTTCTACACAATTCAGTCTGGAAAACCTCAGCAAAACAGACCTGCAGTCACACTCAGATTTTTTTTTTACATAGGAAAGTCACAAGAACTTGATGCAGTTAATTTATACTTTCTCATTTGAAGGACTCTCCTTTAAATTAGTATGCTAGGAGAACATAATTGTATCACAAATGTTTGAGCCTCTTGTCTTGTAGGCGAGAGGATCTGAGAGGCAGAAGTGTTTAGGGAAATCCTCCAACCCATCTTATGTTCATCGTTAAAATGTCAATTCAAACCAACAGTAAATGATGTACGTTATGCAAGGAATTACTTTTTGTGATCTAAGTATAACTCCACTTCTGTGAAGGAAGCTTTCTTGTCAATTCACCTGGTAAGTTGGAACTGCCTGTGGTTCTAGATGCAGGTGTGAATACAAGCATCTCCACGTACTGCCAAAGAACACATGTGGTTTTTTTCATTTCCCAAGTGATGACTTTCTATACTTGAGAAGTTTTCATTTTTCTTGGCAGAAAATAATTGGCTCATTTTAGACTAGACTGGTTGTCTCTGTAGTAGTGGAATCAAGTCAAAAGTTTTTGAAACATTTTTTTCCTTGGTTGTGTTTTAGACTGTGTATCAGCTTCATTGTAAATTTCCTGCCAGAGCAGCCAACTGGTCAATTTGATCTTCTGTGAAAACGTAACCTTCAAACTAGGGTATGCATATCACACAGGGTATCCAGAAACTTTCTAAGAGAGAGACAGCTAAGTTTTAAGGTAATAGTTAATAGTTAAGGTAATAACTGTTAATTATTTAACCAATCTAATAGTAAATCCTCCACTCCACTTTTAAATAAAGTTTGCAAGCTTGATGACTCTGCTGCATTCAAGTGGTCCAGCTCATTCTCCTTTCTTGGCTTTTTTTTATTACACTTGTCTCCTACTTTCCAAAAGTGGAGTCCACCTCTCACGCAGCTCATATTTTACTACAAGATGGAAAAACCTCCAAATTCCAAATCTTGGTACTTAGTTGTACTCTAATGCCTTGGAAATTAAGTAGTCTCTAATATTTTTAATCAATGGTTTTGAAAGATGTCCTAATCAATTGTCAGGTAATGAATTATAAAAATAAGCTTTGATAAAAGACCAGAACATATGTGATTTTTGTTATATAACCCTTAATAATGTCAAAGAGTTGAATAATATTGCTATAACAAAATTCCTTCATTCCTTATCTACTTATTTATATGAGTAAAGTTCATTAGCATTTAAATCTATAAAAATGGAAAGTAGAAATAAAATTAATGCTGAACTCTGCATTTGTGAAGGCAGGAATTAACCTATTCATTTGAAAATTATCTTATTCATTTCATTGAGATAGTTTTCCAGTAAAATTTTACATGTGTTTAGTAATTGTGTTAGTCAACTTTGCATCTATGACAGAATATCTGACATAAATCAACTTTAAGGAGGAAATGTTTATTTTGGCTTACTGTTTCTGAGGTTCCAGTCCATGGTCTGCTGGCCCTATTACTTTGGGACTGAGGCAAAGCAGAGCATCATGGTGATATCATGGTGAAGAGGAGCCTGATCACCTCATGACAACCAGGAAGCAGAGAGAGAAAGAGAGAGAGAGAGAGAGAGAGAGAGAGAGAGAGAGAGATTAATTGTATTCTTCAAAGACATACTTCCAGTGACTTATTTCCTCTGATTCAACCCCACCTCCTAATAACCTATTAAGCTATGAAGTATAAATGGTTTAATCCCTTGATGAGGTCAGCACCCTCCTGATCCAATCACCTCTCTAGGCCCCACTACTGAACATTGCTGACTTGGGGATGAATCCTTCACATTTCAGAATCTAACCATAAAAGCAATTGTTTGGAAATGTTAACATACTCATATATACTAACAAAGAAAGATTTTTAAAATACTTAGACCTTATGGTCAAAATTATTTAAGATTTTAAAATTTCAATTACTATTTTTTTGGTACAGAAAAGTGTGACAGGGTGATCAACATGTACCTACTCCTCCTGATGAATGTAATCATTATGTATTCCAAACATGTATTTTGGGGGGGCTTTTGAGACTGGATCTTGCTCTGTAATTCAGGATAAAAGCCTTGAATTCACTATGTAGTCCAAGCTGGCCTCAAACTCATTGTGATCCTCCGACCTAAGCCTACTGAGCGCTGGGATTACAGGAGTGTGCCACCACACACAGCTGCAAATATGTATTAATAAAATGTTTTTTAAAATATTCAAGCATAAACTATATTACATTAGGTTAAAATTATATAGAGGAAATTGAATAGAAATATGGATTTAAGAATAAAAAAGAGGGCCAGGGATTTAGCTCAGTGGTTTCGCCACCTGCTGCACAAGCGCAAGGACCTGAGTTCAATCCCTGGTATCAAAAAAAAAAAAAAGAATAAAAAAGAGAGTTTATAGGAAGTCTCTAAACCTTCTGTTCAATTTTGCTATAAAAGTAAAACTTTCTTAAAAGCTAAAATCATTAAAATACTATAAAATTTCCAACTGCTATATCAATGTTGTAGTAATTTGATACTTACCCTAACAGCAGCACCATTTATATTTATTGGGTTTGTTTTTTAAAGTAAAAAAAACTAATAATATGTAAATACTGGTAATACACTGAAAAATCATATCCTTTGCAAATATTTTGTTTGTTTTTGTTTTTGTGGCATCGGGGATCAAACTCAGGACCTTGGGCTTGGGAGGCAGGTGAGGTGTCACTGGGCTAAATCTCCAGTTCTTCTTTGCAAATATTTAAACTTCAGGTAAAAATATTATATGTCACACTAAAAATGTACAGGAAGGCATAGTTTATTAAAATTATTTTGCCAGACATAGAAGCAGAAAATCTGAAAACATTACCCACAAGCATGTATTTCCTCTTCCAGGGTCTTGCTCACACCATTCCCTCTGTCTTTCTAGCCCATGTTAGCTTACCCTCCCTTCAAAGCTCAAATCGAATTCTACCTCTAAACTCTTTCCTATGACCTTCCCACGGTGATCTGTTCCTTTTGGAAGACTTGACTTACATAGCACTCACGTGGACTACTCATTTGGTATAACTACATGCTTCCTTGGATTATTTTTGAAATTGATGATTCTACCTGACACCCTAACTTCAATGTAATTTTCATGACAACAGATATTAGGTACTGATGGTTTTAACATCACCTTCTGTTTATTATAAACATTACACAATACATAGATGTAGTGATCACCTAAGAATTAATCATCATTAGAAACAAAGGTTAATTCCTTTGTTCAATGAAAGTAAGGAGCTGCAATGTCTTTAATGCAAATATGCAAAAGGAGAAAGTTCACTATGCAGTAAAGATGTAGTTGAGGTCTTATTTAAGAAGCAAATAAATGCATATAATTTCTTCCAATGTTGTATATCTTTGAGGTGAAGGAATTTCAAAACTTCAGTGAAATAAAAACAATTAATTGCTCGCAAGACTGGTCTTAACCAGCAACTCTGCCTCAAAACACAATGGCTGGGGTGAACTTCTCACTGAAGTTTAGGTAGAAGATGGATACTGGTGTGGTCAGACAGAAGTAGCAGCTACCTAACAGAAGAACTTTTTAAGACAATGGCACAAATACAGAAAGCGAAAAGAGGCACATGAGACCTCTTCATGCCCAGGCTCTGAAGCGAGCTACTACATGACATTGGCTAAGGCTGAACATCAAGTCATGTGGCTGACCATAAAGCCAGCAAAGAGGGAAGCAGAGTGTGACCATGATGATGCCATGGAAAAGATGCAGGTGCAGAAAGGGGTGAAGAATTGGGACCAAAATGCTAACCTACCATGAGATATATATATATATATATATATATAGTGTCTTGCCCTATGTTTGATAGAACAAGCAATGAGAGGTGGTTAATTTTATCTGTACCTCCACCTTGAAAAAGATATTAAAATATCAATCCCTTAAAATTGACTTCCATTAAAGTAGAGCCACAATGTTAATTTTCTTTGTATATTCAAAGTTTATTTAAAATATGAGATTTATACAAAGATTTTTTTAACTAATCCAATGGCAATAAGATTCTCTTCCAATTGTTTTTCTAGCATTAACAATGGTTTAAGGTAAGCTATCCATACTCTTTTACAAATTGTTCTTGAAATCAATATTTAGATTTACAATCCAGGTCATCAGAGTTATGAATATGCTCTAGAGCAGTGGACAAGTTTATAATTTTGTGCCAAGGTAAGTTATGGTGGTGAGAATTAAACTTCCATTTTGGCATAGGTCCATTTATTCCAGATAGATCCTAGACAGAAATGACTGTGTTCCTCCAATTAACAGTGGAGGAACTTCACAAAGAACAAACTACTTCTTATGTGTGTATTGTGGTTTAAGCCTACATATCAAGCCTAAATTTTAAAAGCTAAACAAGATCCTATTTATGAATTAAAGCTTGTCAAACAAAAATATTTTGCTGGGAGAAAAAGTAAAACTTACAGGAATGTTTTATTGGGATGCTAAAAATATTGCACTCATCTTGGGAAGCATGAGTGAAGTACTATAAGCCTAGGGAATGAGGATCTTGACAAGCAACAAGACAGCTGGAGGAAAAGGCTTAAATTAAAAGAAAGTGGGACGGGGAAAGAGAGAAAGCCTCAATGTTGATTCATAGATAAAAAATTACCTGCCTATGTTTTATTGCCCCTCTGAGATACTTCATTCTCAAATAATTTCAACAGCTGGTATTACAGCATTGGCTCTTGGTTTGGTAAGAATTCCAAAAGTGCAGTTCAGACTCCAGGAGCCAGATAGTCCCATGTGATCCACTTATTGCATTTCTTTCTTTACACTCTATCCAGTGCCTTAGTTGCCAAGGAGTTTATAAAGCTCTCCAAGGTATGTTTTCTGCCAGAGACACTGAACCAACCTGAACAGGCTCTTACTTATGCTTCTAATTATGCTGCACACATGATGGGTGATAGTGACATGAACCAAATTGTCCCACTGTCCTTTCCCAAGCCACGGAGGACTGCCTTGCATTAGCCATGATATTTACACACCTGATGCTCTTCTGTTTATGCTCAGGATCAATATTTTAGGGATGGATCCCCTAGACACACCGTTTGACAATGAATTCTACAATGGACTCTGTGACCGGGTTCGGGATGGAAACACTTTGACATACTACCGAAAACCCTGGAATGTGGCTTCTTTGGCCTATGATGTAAGTTGTCTCAGGAGAACACGGTGTTCAGCTTTTGGTTGAAAGTTGCTTCAATAAATTTTATACTAGATTTGGTGAAAAATTCAATAGAATAAGCTAAGACTCACTTCAAGAGGAGGAGACGTGGTTTGGATCTCTTTAGAAATGTACAGTTGTCTACAATCAATCCACCTACTATCCTTTCACTTGGTGATAAATATTTGACAAATATCCATCTTACATCCTTCTGTTCAGTCTCAATAGAAATTTTTCTCATTCACTACTCTAGATCCTACTCCAAGTACCTTGCTAGGCATTCTCCTAGGCTTTCACTCATCCTTCCCTTCTCTCTCCTTCTATTCTGTCCTTAATGTATGAAAATTTTTAATGTTCTCATCTAAAAACAAAGAAAAACTCTTGTCACTACATACCATTACTTGCTATCTCAGTACATGTACTTTGCATTTATTCTCTAATTCTCTGTTATCTGGTTCCCATTCATTTTCCAATCCTTCCCAAAGTCCATCTCAAGTTTTCTTTTAAAGTTCTCTTTACTTAGGAGACCGTTAAATACTGGTGTTATCAGAGTTCCCATCTTGCTTCCCTAAGCTCTTTCCATATTCTCCTTGAGTGATTCCTTTCCCTCCTGTGGTTTCAATATTCACCTCTATTCTGATAGCTTACAAATGCTGTATTTCCAGCCCATGACTCCTTCCCAACAAGATACCTGTGTATCCAGTTATCTGCATTTGTCACACAGTCAACCAACCTATCCCTGATATCCAATGTTACTCTCAATTCCCTGCTTCTTGCTCACAAATTCTCTGCCTCAGTAAGTGGAAACAATATGTTCCTAATTACAAAACACAAACCCTGAGAACCTTCCTAAAGATTTCTATTATAGACCTATCTTCCTCAAAGCCAGCAGTACCAGCTCAATCCCCAATTTTTAGTACTTTAATATCTCTTAAATCTTCTATTCTTCATTTTCACTGCTTTTGCCTTAGATTCTTTTCATTTCTCATCTGAGAGTCAGGAAAAATAACTAAGTTGCTTAAGGTCATGTGCATGATAAGTGAAGAAAGTTATCAAAACTCAAACCTAGGGAACCTTAATTCAGAACTAGCAATTGCTCAGATGGTACACTGTATTTAATTCATTGCTGAGCTCTTAATTCTTAAATGTACTGAATTTCATCTCCACCTCTCCATTTCTGCTATTACAGTCTCTTTCAACATGTCCTTATTGGACCACAAAATAGTCTCCTTTCTTGTGTATTGCCTATGGTCTTGTCCCCTTGAAATTCATCTCCACAAAACATGAACAACTAAAATAAATTTTTATCATGTTCTGCCCCTCATCACTTCCTCATTACCCTCATGATTATGCCCAATGTACTTGTGAGGGTACATGAGTATCTTCATGATTGAACCCCTACCTATAACTCTAAACTCCAACTCTTTGGGTTGATTTGTAGATCATAGTCCTTTTAAAGATAAATGGGAAAAGTTTATATATTTACCCCTAAGGAAATACAACACAGAACAAATAAATGAATATGGATATTATAAGTTTTAATTCTCTGCTGCCAGATTTTCTAAATGGGCTCAAGTTGTCAGTAGAAAGAATAGTTGAAATGTTGATTAAACTGGTGTTTACAGTTTTGCTGTGAACTTTAATGGTAATTCCAATTATATGTTTATTTGATTACTTTCTTGCCTTTATTAAAAACATTAGTTTTTTTCATAAGTGTCATTATGCTGGCAGGCATTTAATTATTCACTGAAAAAGCATTTACTTAGAAGAAATGTATAATATTAGTTTCTCATGATTCTGTAGTTTAAAAAGAGAGTAGGATAACAACCAAAGAGTATTTATGATGCAGAAAAAAACATCAAAGAGGAAAACAAAGCATATTGCATTAATTTTGTAGGAGGGACATCAAAAAACATGGAAGATTTAGAGAAGAAAGCTGAGGGTAGAGTGGCAGTTAAAAATCAAAACATGATGATAATGGGGCTCATGATTCATAGAGTTTTGGAGAAATTAAATGTGGTAATAAGAAGTGCAAATTGCAAATCAGTCGTAGTGGAGCATGGCTATAATCCCAGCACTTGAAAAACTGAGCCAGGAATATTACTACAAGTTTGAGGCCAGCCTGGCCACATGATGAGCTGAAGGCCAGCCTCCACTACATAGCAAGACCCTGTCTCAAAAAAAAAAACAAAAAAGCACAAAATGTCTAGAACAGTTCCTGGCACAAAGAAAACTCTCAGTAGATGGAATAGAAGGTAACAGAAAGTCAATAGTTTCTACCATCACCACCACCACCAGTGAAAGACACAACCTCAAGAGAAGACTTGGGATCAAATACGTGAAAAACTACCAAAAGAACAGTATGGTTGTAAGAAAAAGATAATAGTGTGAATTTTTTCTTTTTTTTAATACTATGGAACTCTGGATCTTGCACTTGCGAGGCAAGTGGCGGCACCACTAGCTAAATCCCTGGCAATAGTGTGAATTTTTATAATTTTGAATTTGAGGATCTATATGATATCTACATAGTTATCTTACAAAAATAGATTATTAATCTGAGAGCAGAGAAAATGATGGATCTAGGTATAGATAATCATTGAAATATAGATATTTCATATAGGCCTGCGATCACCTAGCATATACAGGGGAAGAGGAAGATGGAGAAAGAACCTCCAGAGCACACCAACGGTTAAGCTCTAGGAACAGGAAAAGATTTATTGAAGATAATAGAGATGGACCAAGCATCATTTTTACTTCTGGTGCTGGAAATAGAGGAGATAAACACAATTAAGAAATATTTCCATTTTCAAATTCAGCAGATTTGCATAGCAATTGGAAATACAGAGTAAGTACAAAAAAACATAAAAGATGCTGTTATGGTTTAGATCTAAAATGTCCTCCCAAAGTCTAATGTGTTCAGAAGTAGGACTTTTGAAAGGTGATTAGATCATGGGTGCTATACTCAATCAGTGGATTAATCCATTGATGAGATCATAGCACAATATGCTATTAGAAAGCAGAGCCTGGTTGGAGGAGGTTGATCACTGGATGAGCAACCTGGAAGGTTGTATCTTTGTCCTCCATCCTTTTTTGTTTCTCTCTGCCTGGCTGCCATGGGTTGAGCAATTTTCCTTTGGCAGGCCCTTCTGCCATGTCATTTCTGTCTTGGTGTGGAAGACCATGGACTGGATCCTCAGAAACTGTGAGCCAAATAAACTTCTCCTCCTTAGGTTGTAGGTGTCAGGTTCTTTATCTCAGGGACAGGAAAGCTAATACAGATGCCACTAAGATTTTGTACAAATGGGTGAAATTATAGAACCACAAAAATGTTTTATGTCACATCTGCAATTGAGAGAAGGAACCTAGAAAAAGCAGATTGATTACAATCTCTGAGTACCTTCAGCCAGAACCACCTAAGCCACTCTCACATTCTTAATCATTTAATCATCAAGTTTTGAGGTAATTTGAAAGTTAGAAATATATAATAAGTACAAACCTTCTCTATTGTCTTCATAGATATTTTGTGTATCAAGAGTTTAAATACTGATGTGCTCTTGAAGCTTTTTCTCTATGTTCCTCTTCTGCATACATTGGGTAATCTCAAGTACTTTTACAAAAAGCAAAGAATTGAAGAAAAAAAATCAAATAGCACTTTTGCAAAAGGAAAGGGGACCAGGAGTTGGGAGGGACAGAGAGGGATGGGAGAGGTAGGGGACCAAAAAAACATTAAGATGTATTATGTACATATACTAATTCCTCAAGATAAATGTAATTAGGCTGAGGATTTATCTCAGTGGTTCCACTGCCTGCCTCACAAGCACAAGGTCCCAAGTTTGATTCCCGGAAGCAAAAAAAAAAAATGTAATCATTATGAAGTCTAAACGTGTATTAATAAAAATTTAAAAAGAAGACAGGCAAATACAAAGAACCAAAAAAAGGAAGGAAGGAAGGAAGGAAGGAAGGAAGGAAGGAAGGAAGGAAGAAAGAAAGAAAGGAATTCAGTGATCATCTACAGCTAGATCCATCATTCTCTCTACCCTAAGGTTAATATAAAGTACTCTTTGTAGTAAAACTACGTAGGTGTCATATGAACTTCCTAACTCAAAATTACCAAAATTCACATTATTATCTTTCTCTTACAACTTACTCTTCTTGTAGTATTTCTCTAGGTTCAGTATAGGGTAATGGTTGACATTATAAAATGAGCTTGGAAATTAGTTTTATTCACCTTTTTTTAATGGTTTGAAAATGATAGGCATTAGTTCTGTAAGTCTTTTGTAGATTTCAATAGTAAAGTCTTCAGGTTCAGGATTTCTCTTTAATGGAAAACTTTTTTATTGATTCAATCTCCTAACTCATTAATGATCTGTTCAGATTTTTTATCTATTCCTGATTCAGTCTTAGTAGGTTGTATATTTCCAAGAACTTATCCATTTCTTCTAAATTATTTAAATTGTATCATATACTCATTCATAATAATCTCTATTTTTCTGTGATATCAGTTGTAATGTATCCTCTTTCATTTTTTACTTTATTTATGTGGATCTTCTTTATTTTTCTTAGTTGGCCTAGATAAGATTTGACAATTTTATCTTTAGAAAAAAAATCAACTCATAATTTTGTTGATCTTTTAAATTATTTTTAATTAATTTTTATTGGTACATTTTAGATATACATAATGATAACATTCATCATATGGAATTAGTACCTGTACATGATGTATCTTTTTAAAAACTTTTTATTTTACTGGTACATTTTATGTATACACAATGATAACATTCATCATAGGGAATTTGTACCTGTACATGATATATCATGCTTTTTCTTTTTTTCCACTTTCCCTCCCTTCTGCATATTTTTGTTGATGTTTTCTATTGTTTTTCTAATCTCAATGTCATTTCTTTCTTCTCTTGTCTCCTTATCTTTTCTTCCTTCTGCTAATGTTCAGTTTGTTCTTTGTCTAGTCTATTCAAATATAACATGGG